GCCTATCATGCGGTTGTCGGTTCTTGGGCTTAAGAACCGACAACCGCCCGACTAGGCTCTCGGTTGCAACCGCAACCGAGGCCAGCCCAACCGAATGCCAAAAAAGCCCGAACCATCGGTTGCGGTTGCGGGCGGGCACGGTTTTTTTTTCGGTTGCGGGCACAAGCGCCCACCCCTACGTATAGTTAGGGGTGGGCACAAAACCCGCAACCGATCGGGCAACCGACAACCGACCTGAAAAAATGGTGTTCGGTTCGGGCTTAACGGGCTTCGGGCTCAAATGTTCAGTTTCGAGCTTGGACCGATCTTAAACGGTTCGGTGTTCGGTTGCTAATCTAAAAACCGAGCAACCGAATAATAAAACCGAATAAGAAATATATATAAATATATTTTCACTCCCTTCTCTTAAACCTAACCCTAACTCTCTCCCTTTCAATAAAATTTTCTTTCCCTCCTCGCCCAGATCCAGATCTGCCAGCTGCCTTCCATAGATAAAAAAAAATTTCATCTCCGCCAAATCCAATCTTTAATCTTCCTTTTTTTATTTCTTGTTCTTTAGCCGCTTTTCACTTTCTGTTCTATGCTTCTATTTCTTCTCCAATTCTCGTTCTTCTCTTTTATTAATCTCACAAGCTCTATAGCTCACTCTTTCTCTATATTTCTCTTTTTAATCTCCATCTTTCTACAAGTTTTATAACTTGAAAGCCCAATCTCCTTCATCCCAAAAAGGTGAAAGATGTAATCATAGGATCTTGCTCGATCAATAGCATCTCATCGTCGCCGGCAAGTAACTCAAAGATGGTCAGACCTTATCCGAATGCAGTATCCAAAACGGTCAAAATCTTGTCTTTTGATTTCTACAGTTGTGCTTAGAAATTTTTTTTTTTTTTTTTATGGAAAAGGCTGGATTAGAATTTAAAATGGGATTTCTTTACTTTTGCATTGTGTTGACAACCTTGAGATTGTAGAAATTGGGATATGCTTGAACGACTTTTGATTCTTTTTTGGATTTGGCACTTGGGAAATGTGATGGCTTTGGATATTTATTTGGATAAAAAAATTGAAGAAAATGGATCATCAAACATTGTAGGAAATTTGGGCCACAAAAACGAAAGGCCCAAACCTGAGAAAGTCTAAGGCTAGAATTGGTAAAAAAATCGAGACCGATACCAACCGAACTGATTAATTCGGTTACAAAACCAGAAAACCAAAATATTGATTGGTTCGGTTTTCGATTGTTACTTTATAAAACAATCAACTGATAAAAACCATCAATTCAGGTTCGATTCCAACCGAACCGAACCGATGCCCACCCCTACGTATAGTTACGTGATTATGATAAATGCAATGCTGAGAATAACATTTTTGTTCTTCTTATTGACTTAGCAACAATATAGCAAGGCAAAGCCTCCTTCTCTGATTGGTATTTCATGAGAGACTTGGCGAGGAGGGGTATTCCATCTTGAGGAGAGGCATACCAACTTGATGTGGGCCGCGTTTTTTGTGGTGCGCTGTAATAAAGGATTATCAGCATTTTTTTTCGCTTGTGGATTGTCTGAAGCAGTTTGGAAGGCTGTATTGCAGGATTATGGTGTCATTAGAGAGCCAAGGAGATGGAGCAAGAAACTAGTTTTGCAGATTCTGCGAAGCTGGAACCATCCACATTTGACACGATGAAAAATAAGAGGATTTTTAATAGTTGAATTTGTAGGCATTGAGAACTTAATTAGCCAGGATTGTACAGACTATTGTACTTCAATCTTCTTTTTTTTTAAATGGTACTTCAATCTTTATAGATTAGTAAGATGCATATCATTATTAAATTACAGATAATATTTTAAAATTTGTCACTTTATTATTTCATAATTATTTTAAATTAAAAATTATTTAAAATCGCTCCTCTCATTATCACTCCATGAATCGCTCACTCATGAATTATTATTTATTACCCCTTCAATATTCCACCCATGGTTAAACAGTGTATTTGGCATGAGAGAAGGGAAGAGGGAGAGAAGGGAAGAGGAAGAGAAGGGGAGTAATGGATTTTTTAATTAATTAAACTTAAATATTTAAAAATATTATTTTTTAATTAATTAAAATTTTTTTCTCTTCATCACCTTAAATTAAACATGGTCTAATGATTTGTTAATTTTCATGCGTAGGATAATGAAATCAGTGGATGAAATTAATCCTACAATAAAAAGAACTGTTTTGCAAAGTTCTAAAAAGTTTTAAACCTAATTGCTCATTTATAGGATACGGGACACTTAAATGCAAAGATACCTCAAAGATGGAGGACTAAATTAATTACTTTCCGTTTATTTTTCCACGACAACCGGAAATTAATTAACTAGTCGTAGGAGAAAATGATAACGAGCTTCTTGCTGCTGCCCCCGGCCAACTTCCTGCCGTCTTCTCTGAAATCCTCAAACCCTTCCCGGCGATATTCTCAATCATCGTCATCCCCACTGTCAACCAAGCCCCCCGGAAAGTTTAAACCCCTCAATGATCGTCTGCACAAACACCTCAATTCCGGTCACCTCCAGAAAGCGATCTCTACCCTGGATCTCATGGTCCAGCAGGGCACCCACCCGGACCTCCTCACTTACTCTCTCCTCCTCAAGACCTGCATCAGGTCACAGGACCTCCACCATGGCAAGCTCGTTCATAACTACTTGACAATGTCTGAACTCGAGCTTGACTCCGTCCTTTTTAACATGCTAATTAGCTTGTACATGAAATGTGGTGAATGGACTACAGCTCGGATGATATTCCAAAGTATGGGGGATAAGAGAGATGTGGTCTCCTGGAGTGCGATGATTTCATGTTTTGCTAATAATAATATGGAATTTGAAGCGATTGCGACATTTATTGATATGATCAAAAATGGGTTTTCCCCTAATGAGTATTGCTTTACAGCGGTGATTCGGGCTTGTTCAAAGGCAGAAAATTTTTCTATAGGAGAAGTGATTTTTGGGTTATTGATAAAGGATGGGTATTTCGATTCTGATGTGAATGTTGGTTGTGCTTTAATTGATATGCTAGTGAAGGGAAGTGGCGATTTGGAATCTGCATATAAGGTGTTCGATAGGATGTCTGTGAGAAATGTGATCACTTGGACTTTGATGATAACTAGAAGTACACAGTTGGGGTACCCAAATGATGCTATTGATCTGTTCTTAGATATGATTTTAAGTGGCTACATGCCTGATCGCTTTACTCTAAGCAGTGTCACGTCGGCTTGTTCTGAGTTAGAATTGTTCTCCCTAGGGCAACAATTGCATTCTTTGGTTATAAGGTCAGGTTTGGCTTCGGATGTCTGTGGTGGTTGTAGTTTGGTAGACATGTACGTTAAGTGTGTAGCAGATGGCTCGATTGATGATTCTAGACGAGTGTTTAATAGAATGCCAAGGCACAATGTGATGTCTTGGACAGCAATCATCACAGGGTATGTGCAAAGTGGAGGACGTAACAAGCAGGCTATTGAACTTTTTTGCAAAATGATTCAGGGCCCAGTTGCACCAAATCATTTTACATTTGCCAGTGTGCTTAAAGCCTGTGGAAATCTTTCTGATTCAGACATAGGCAAACAGGTTTACACTCATGCAGTGAAAAGACGGCTTGCTTCGGATGATTGTGTTGGGAACTCCCTTATAAGCATGTATGCACGTTCTGGTAAGGTTGATGATGCAAGAAAAGCTTTTGAATCTCTGTTTGAGAAGAGTTTGGTTTCCTATAATGCTATTGTTGATGCATACACTAAGAACTTAGATTCAGAAGAAGCATTCCAACTTTTTCAAGAAATTAGTGATATAGGAATTGGGGTTAATGCCTTCACATTTGCTAGTCTCTTGAGTGGGGCTTCAAGCATTGGTGCCATTGGCAAGGGTGAGCAAATCCATGGCCAGGTGATAAAATCAGGGTTTGAGTCAAATCTGTACATCTGCAATGCTTTAATATCTATGTACTCTCGGTGTGGAGACATAGAAGCTGCTTTCCAGGTTTTCAATGAGATGGCAGACCAAAATGTTATATCATGGACAGCAATGATCACTGGCTTTGCAAAACATGGATTTGCTACAAGGGCTTTGGAAACCTTCAATAGAATGCTTGAAGCAGGCATAAGGCCTAATGAGATCACATATATTGCTGTTTTATCAGCCTGTAGCCACGCAGGTCTGATTTCGGATGGTTGGGAACACTTCAAGTCAATGTACCAAGAACAAGGCATTGTGCCAAGAATGGAACATTATGCTTGTATGGTTGATTTATTGGGCCGGTCAGGTTCACTTGTAGAAGCCCTTGAGTTTATGAACTCGATGCCCTACACAGCAGATGCTTTGGTCTGGCGTACATTTCTTGGAGCCTGTCGAGTTCACAACAATACCGAACTTGGGAAACATGCTGCAAAGATGATC